TATAGTAAATTACTAACGGAGGGAGGATTATTTTTTTATGGTCCTAGTAAAGGCAGTTTTATCCTGCCACCCCACGGCTATGCTCTCTGAAAAAATATCCAAAACGTTCTAGACCAGAAATTTGCCGACAGGGGCGTGCAAAATGTTCTTTTACCGACACTTATCCCGCTTGATTTACTAGAAAAAGAAAAGAAGCATATTGCTGGGTTTAGTCCTGAATGTTTTCAGATTGAAAAAATTGGGGAGAAAAAAACTGAAACCCCGTTGGTTTTACGACCTACGAGCGAAGTATTATTTTATGACTGATATCGCCAAATTCTCCAAACTTATCAACAATTACCTTTTTTGTATAATCAATGGTGTTCGGTTTTCCGAGCCGAAAAAAACACCAGTCCCTTTTTTCGGAATACTGAATTTCCGTGGCAAGAAGGACACACTATCCATAGTAATGCCGAAGAAGCCAAGCAATTTGCGTTAAATATTCTTTCTATTTACCATGATTATGCTGAAAATGTCCTTTGCCTTGGAGTAATAGTTGGAAAAAAAACTGAAGGCGAGAAATTTGCCGGAGCCTTGGAAACCTACACGGTGGAGTGTTTGTTGCCGGATGGACAATGTTTGCAATTTGCTACCAGCCATTATTTTGGCGATAATTTTTGTCGCTTGATACAGGTCAAATTTCAAAATAAGGACAACCAAATACAGCACCCTTTTTCGACTTCGTGGGGAACTTCAACCCGTGCCATTGGTGCGGTTGCCAAAACTCATGCCGACCATTGAGGTTTAATTTTACCTTTTGATATTGCTCCCGTCCAAATCGCCTTTATTCTAATTGGAAAAAGCGAAGAGTTAGTTAATTATCACCAAGAAATTTATGGCTTATTGACTCCTGATTACCGTTGCCAGTTGTATAATGAAAGCGAACGAGTTAATTTAAATATTCTCCAAGTTGATAAGGAGGGCTGCCCGTTTAAAATAATCCTTGGCAAGGAAGAATTAAAAAAAGGGGAAATTACCCTCGTCAGAAGGGATAATGTTGAAAGAAGAATTACCATTAGTTTAGAAAGTGGTGCAACGGAAAAAAATTTTCTTCATAATTTTGAAAATAATTTGGC